AAAAGGCTACAGATAAAGCCTGGTGGAGTTACACCAAGGCTGCATTTCTAATCCTTCTAGGAACTGGCATTACATTTCTGCTTGGAAATCCTATCATGTCAACTCTCCAGGAGTTCTCTTCTGCTGCAAATATTCCCTCCTTCTTGGTTTCTTATGTTCTCTTACCCTTTGCTATGGGATTCAGACAGGCATTCAGTGCAGTATCTTCTGCCAGAGAGAAGACAGAGCATACAGTTTCCTTAACATTTTCGGAGGTTTCTTTTTTGGTCTGTCAAACTTGTCCCTTTTAATTTGATTTGAATTCACAACTAATTAAAATCAATTATTTCCATGTGTTTCTGCAGATTTATGCTGGAGTGTTCATGAACAATGCCATGGGTTTAGCCATCTTCTTGTTGCTTGTATACATTCGAGATCTTTCATGGAATGTCTCCACTGAAGTTCTAGCAATTCTAATTATCTGCACGGCCATGGGACTCTTTGCGAGCTTCAGCAACAAGATACCCTTTTGGGCGTGCATTTTTGTTTATCTTCTATACCCCATATCTCTTCTGCTGATGTACTTTCTGACTGAAGTTCTTGGATGGTCTTAAGGTAGCTATGATCAAGAATATCATAAGAGCTGGGGCTCAACGCAATTATGTAAGAACTTGGTGACGCTTTCAGTTGATTAAAGTTTGTGCTGTTTTTCTTTTCTTGTAAATGTGTTTCTGTCCAAGAGTGAAATGATCATAAAATAAAACCATCTCCCTTTGTTTTCCTTTTCTTTTCTTTTCTTTTCTTTTCTGCTCTTTTCTTTTCTTTTCTTTTCTTTTCTTTTTTTTTTTTTTAAGTTGAAAACCATATCCACTTTATAGTATGTTAGGTTTGGGGAAGGAAAAGGGAACAAAGGGATGAAAATTCTTCTACTTAGTTAAAAAATTTAAAGAGGAAAGAAGAGTGGAGTTCCTTTATTTTATTTTTGGTTTTAATTCTTTTATTTATCTAAATAAGAGAATAATTTTCTTTAATTTTTTTTTCTCTTCTATTCTTTTTTATTTCTCTCAAACTAAACATATTAAGAACTGAATAAACTCTAAAATAAGTTATAAAATGTAGTGCATGGTACTCCCTATGTTGGCCAAATAATTATTAATGTATACGTAAAATTCTTATATTAAGTAATAAAATTTCACATTACACTAATAAAAAATAAATAAATAATTATTAATATACATGTAATGATCCTATCCATATTAAATGATAAAATCTCACATTACACTAATAAAAAAATAGTAAGAATACGAGTGTTTGTAAGATGAACTGCTTAACCTAGCTAATGTGAATTGATTTTAATTTAAATGCCCAGTCTTGTTTTTAGGCCTAATGCACTTTCCTCATCCTATGTGAAAAATAGTTATTGAAGGCAGATTTTGGCGAAAGATTTCACTTAAAGTTTAAAATTTCATTACCCACTTATTGAGAGGTCACATCTTTCCAACGGGTATTAAACCAAAAAAATTAGAGAAGAAATTGGGTCAATGTTGACACAAAATTAAATCAAATCAAATCTTCTAATTTTTCTCCTACTTCATTTACAATAAGCAAATATTGAGGAAACAAAGCAGGTAAACGGTCACATGTTTAAAAAAGGTCCCATGATCTTTTCCCATTATGAAGAGATATATCATATTCTACCCCAGCAAGAAATCTTATAAAATCATTTATGGTAAGATAATTTTTAATTGATTATCTATTTATAAAATACAGGCATAAGATTATGTACCATCAACAACATTATAAAAGTTTTTTTATTACCTAAATCATTAAAATTAATATTATTTATATAAATTTTATATTTTTATATTTTTAACTTTTAAATAAAATATTTAATAAAATACTTCTTTTTAATCCATATTTTTAAATAAAAACTTTTAAAAAACTACACAATTATTCTTCAATTTTAATCATATTATATATAACAATAATTTATATTAAAAAAATCTCAAAAAAATAAAAATAAAATAAAAAGATTAACAACCATTGGACTCAAAATTCAATGGCTGACTTGAAGTGGCAGGTGAACCGCCCTGACATGTACTGCATATGTCAGATAAAGTCAAATATTGCTGATGAAAAGGATAAAACGATGCCGCTTTGGTCATTTTTAAGCTTTAAAAAAAAAAAAAAAAAAAATGGAGAGCCGCGATCGGCGCAGTGAGCATGCCTCACTTTAAAAATGGAAAAATGCTATTTCATTAGACAAGAACTTTAAGCTTTATTCCATCCAGTGAAGAGAATAACAACGTGAGTGTGCGTTGTGCATACTCTAATGGATATGAGCTACAGACGGAACTATTTTTAGTTTGAGATTAATTATGGGTTGTTTGGTTTAACTGATTTTTGTTAAATAATTAATTAATGTATTTAAAAATATTAATTTATAAATTAATTTTAAATTATAAAATAATTAATATCAATTATCAACTACTTATAATAATTAAATTAAACAAATTTTATATATGTAAAGTCAATTAAGAACTACCTTTTAAATAAAAATAATAATTTTTTTAATATTTATTATTAAAATATCTTTAGATCACTTTTTATATATCTAACAATTTTAAAATTTTATTAACGACTTATTGATATTATTGGTACGAGTGAAAAGAATTTGATTTTTTTTTAAAATAAAATTTTGAATTCGAATATTATAAATAAAAAAATAAACATTGAAAAAAAAAATTTTATAAGATTTGATACGACTCAATTACAGATTAATCAAAATCTAATATGATTATTGAATATAAAAAACTTAATTCCAAAAAACAATTTTAAAATTTCATTCTTATATAAACTTCTTTTAAGTAGTAATACTAATTTTAAAAATTAAATTTAGAAAATGACATTTATTTAACAATAAATATAAATCTAAGTCAATAAGTCATTGCTTCTCTGACAAGGGGTCATTATCGAGCTAAGATTATAATCTGAAGACTGCACCCCACAGGGCCCACACCTACTGAGAGTCCATTTCAACGCTCTATTCCATGCGGAAGGGTCGTTAGTTATCATGGGCATGATTATCGCCCAGGTTAAAATATTAAGGTAAAATAAGCTTTTAACTATTGTTATTTTATAAACTCGTTGAAAAGCTTTCTCATTTAAATTTCATTTTGAACGTGTTTCTATATTCGTTAAAAAACTTGAGATGTTTATTTTTATATAAACTCTTAAACCAAACTTTTATTATAAATTTATATCTTTTTAAATGAATAAGTAGAGAGCATTGTTGTAATGTATGGGGATTTAAATTTATATGAACTTTCTCTCTATAACTCCTTTTTATGTATATATATATACACTTGCACAAAATTTATTAAACTTTTTTAATGATTTTATTATCACTAAAATTATCATAAGAACTTACATGTAATTTAATCACACAAATTGAGTTTAACATGTCTCATTTTTGGGATTTATTTCACCTTATTTGGTTAAAGGGGGAAATTTAGATGACTCGTGTTTCAAGTTCATTAGATTCTTGGTTTGAAATCACCAAAAAATGAAAGAAAATGAAAAATTGATGTGTATCTAATCTATATTTTACTATAAAAATTAGTATTTGTCAACTGAATTTTTAAAAAATTAAGAGGACAAATATATCAAAATTATATCATTTCATTAAAATAGCAAGAAAAAAGACCAAAACAAACTCAATTTGATTTTAAAATAGATTATTTTATTTTTTTCAATAAAAATTTATTAAAATGATATAATTTTAAAACCTTCTTTCTCATAATTTTTTAAAGGCTAGGCTAATAAACACTTTACCCTTTACAATGGACGATAATTGGCATACATCGCAATTCCTCACCCTTCGTTACACACTCTCATTCTGTTAACTCTGTTATTTATTCCGTTAACTCTGAAGACGCCTAATGGTGACAAGTTCCTACTCCTTTCCTTCCTCTTCTGCCACCTTACTATTCAGCAGAACCCAGACCCAGATCGGGTTTTGCATCTGGGTTCTACTGCAGAACCCAGATAAGAGCGAGGAAGAGAAGGAAGAAGAGGGGGAAAAGAGGGAAAGAAAAATCAAAGAACCAAGGCTGGGTGAAGAGGAAAGTTATGTTGGGTGAAAAGGAGAGCTGTTGGGTTAACAAAAGAACGGAGAGAAACTGAGACGGAGTAAGCGTGTGATGGAGGGTGTGATGACAGAGAGTGCATACATCATTTTCCCTTTACAATATATGATAACCAACATTTTATTTTTCTGTTAACTCTCTTCATTTCTCTACTCATATCCTATTTGTATATTCTATAAATGAACTCATTATTTTATATATATAACCCATTGATGCATGATCTCCAATTTTCAAAAGAAGATTACTACAAAACTAGTTGCTTTGGTTGGCCAATTAATTTTGTCTATAAGAATATAACCTTAATCTACTAACATATCATGAATTGGTTATTTTTGTGAAGAATAGTCTATTTTTAATTCAACTTCAAAACAATTCACTGGGTTTTGATCATTAGTTATTCTTTGTAGGCGGAAAGAAGAGATCATCAATTATTCTTTGGAAATGAAAAAAAAAAAAAAATCTATTCCATCATCTACATCATTTCTAGCCCCCATCCAAAATCATGAATCTGCACCCAACAGTAATTTTTATGTATATACATATATAAATCGTATATAAAATTTATTTTTTTTTAAAAAAACGTATATTAAACTGTATCCTTATTGAACACACTCAAAAAAAAAAAAAAAATCATGCTAGAGTTAATTACTGTCTCTCCAAATCTCCTGGACTGACTTCATCCCCACAGCTCTGAACCCTTCTTGATGATCTCTCACCACTAACCATCCTACTGAATGAACCCAACCAAGACCCGGACCCGGACCCAGACCCACCTTCGGCTCCACGTGAAATATTGGGCCCTATAGGTGGAGCCGTGGGTTGAACAATAGTGTTTTCCAGCTGAACCTGTGGCTCAGCTGTGGTTCGACATACAGGGCAAGTTGTATGTGATCCAAGCCACATGTCTATGCACTCTACATGAAACATATGCTTACAATTGGGTAAAATCCTAACCACGGCATCTTCTATAATGGTGCCCAAACAAACAGAGCATTCCAAATAATCATCAGGATCATGCTGGGTAGTTACCTTGTAGCTGAACGAAGGCAGAGAGGCTATGACCAAAGGCTCGAGCCCTTGCTTTGGAGGTTGATCAATGTTAGAACTTGCATCAAACGGTGCAGTTTGGGTTCTGAGGGCACGAAAAAAAGCCAGGCGTCTTCTTTCTCTGCGTTGCGTCAGGTATCTGGCGTAGAGATGGAGGATGATCACCAGCATCACCACCGCGAATAAAGAGAAGATTGCCGCGACCATT